AATAGAACGTATTATCTATCTATCTATCTATCTATCTATCTATCTATCTATCTCTATCTATCTATCTATCTATCTATCTATCTATCTATCCATCTATCTGTCTATCATCTATCTATCATCTACCTACCTATTATATTATGCCATCATCTATTATCATGTATTATCTATCTATCTATCTATCTATCTATCTATCTATCTATCTATCTATCTATCTATCTATCTATCTATCTATCTATCCATCTATCTGTCTATCATCTATCTATCATCTACCTACCTATTATATTATGCCATCATCTATTATCATGTATTATCTATCTATCTATCTATCTATCTATCTATCTATCTATCTATCTATCTATCTATCTATCTATCTATCTATCTATCTATCTATCTATCTTCCCTCTGCTACTTCCCACTCCTTCCTTCCATCCCTCCTTCAATATATGTGGGTATTCAGCATAATTTTGTATTATAAATTTTGTATTTATTTATTTAGTCGTGTTTATACTGTGTATATTGGAGGGGGTGAACCTCTGAGAGCTGCATGCAATGACATTTCATTTCAATGTATTCCAATTAGTGTACATCCAAAGGGACAATAAAGTTATTCTAAGTCTAAGGTGCCTGGTTTTTTTTCAGGTTTCGGGAAAACCCCAAAGGCCTGTGGATTGCTCTTGAAAAGGTAAAAAAGTTTACTTTTAATGCAATCCAAGCTGAAGAATAGGAATGGGAGAGAAGAGGCTGGATAACATTCAAAGCCTTGGATTTTTACCACAGACCGTTCCTGAGGCATCTTACCTGGTTTTTCGGTTTTGACTTTGGTATGTAACATGTTGGTTGAGAAGCAATTCCCTGCAGGAGTAAGAGAGTGAGGGGAAAAAATATATCTCAAATTCACTTTTTGACTTTGGGGAGGGCATCACGCAGCCACAAAAGATGATAAGAGTTCAAAAATAAAGGAAAGAAAGACAAAGAAACTCAATCCAACTTTGATATTGCTTAATATAAGAAGGAACCAACTTGGACCAGTTTTCAAGATCCTGTTTTTACAGGTAGTCTTTGACTTACGACCAAATTGAGACCAAAGATTGTAGTTATTAAATGAGTTTTGCCCAATTTTTCAACTTTTTTGCCTCAGTTGTTAAGCAAATCACTGCAGTTGTTAAGTGAATCATATGGTCATTAAGCGAATCTGACTCCCACATTGACTTTGCTTGTGAAAAGCCAGCTGAGAAGGTTACAACATGGGGATCACATGGCCCCTGGATAATGCAACCATCTTCTATAACATGCCAGTTGCCAAGCACCAAGCACAAATTTTGATTACCTGACCATGGGGATGCTGCAATGGTCGTAAGTGTGAATAATGGGCATAAGTTACTTTTTCCAGTGCTGTTCTAACGTCACGTGGTCTCTAAATGAACAAGTTGTAAGTTGCGGACTACCTGTATACTTTACTAACAGTGTATCTCAACCTCGGCAATTGCTGGATGTGTGGACTTCAATTCCCAGAATTCCCCAGCCAGCGTAGAAAGTCTGGCTGAGATATTCTGGGAGTTGAAGTCCAGACATCTGAAAAGGCCAAAGTTGAAAAAAAAAATTGCTATATAAGAGGAAGGGGAGGAAAAGCACAATCAGCCTTGCAAAATGATTGTAATCTATCTCAATAAAATACTACTGTATATACTAGTCTCCCTGTAAAATTAGTATACTGGTCTGATTTACCTTAAAGGGCTGAGACATATGAGAAAAATAGTAGGGAAAATTAAACCTAATGGATTCAAGAAAGGACAAAATCAACCCCCTAAATGTGTTAGATTACAAGCCCCTGCTTCAACAAGAATGGAATATGCCATCAAATTCACTTGGAGAATGTCAGCTTGGAAGCAATTTCCTTAAAGTAACAACAACAACAACAACAACAACAACAACAACAACAACAACAACGAGATGGAATTCCTTCAGTCTATTGCTGAAACAGAGGCATAGGAAATGTCAAAGCAGAGAAACTAAAGTTTTGGAGTTTTTTTCTTTTCGTAAAGTTGGGACTCTTAAAGGCACCTCTGAGTCAGATTTGCAGGTGGTTTGAGCTCAGGATTGTTTCGGGAAGTCTTACATAATAACAGAGTGGGAAGGGACCTTGGAAGGTCATCTAGGCCAACCCTCTGCCCAAGCAGGAGACCCTACGCCATTTCTGACAGATGGCAGCCCAGTCTCTTCTTGAAAGCCTCCAGGGATGAAGCTCCCACAACTTCCGAAGGCAACTTCTTTCCTGTCGGTTAATGGTTCTCACGGTCAGAAAGTTCCTCCTCATTTCTAGGTTGAATCTCTCCTTGGCCAGTTTCATCCGTCAGTCCTGCCCTCCCTGCTTTTAGTCTGAATCAAAGCCATCCCGTCCCTCCACTTTTATGGACTCTGCATTACGAGATCTCAAAGCCACGGCGATCTCTGGATGGGGGTTTAGCGTGTTGTGTGAATCCAGCTGGTGGAAGACTTAAAGAACTCTGAGCATAGACAAGACTGAGCTCCATGCAATAGGAATTGATTGCACCCTAACCCGATCAATTCTCCACCCTCCAATATTTTCACCGCCTCCTCCCTTTTTAGGGGGGGGGGATGTCTTCTTCGCTGCTCGGGTTAAGCAGCGGGGATCGGTTGCACCTCTACAGCA